AATTTTTTTAATTAAATTTTAAAATAGTCTATAAATTGAGATCTCTATTTTATTTTTGAGAAAATCATTGTATTATGAAAAAAGATTCTTAGGAGTCTAAACAAAAGTTTTTTTTAAGGTGATTAATTGTATAATATTTTAAACTAAATTACTTAATTCAATCAATGTATTATCTACAATGCATGTGCGTCGAATTGTTTTGCGACGAATTGTACTAGTGCCTGCACTTTAACGGGATTTTTTTAAAATAAATGCCTTGCTCCAGAAAAAATGATTTTCAAAGTTCGACTTGAAACTTTGCATAGAGATAGAGACAGGCTTTTACAAGAATAGGTTTTTGTGAATATCTCAGATCTTGTCGCCGTTCCTATCCTTAGATACAAATATGGTAATAGCTTGTCTTTTATATCGTCTATATAAATCAGTAGATTTGATTCTCGTATTTCCAGGATAGGAGCAAATCAAAAGCGATTTGTCAGTTGAAGTATATCCATGGTTAGATGATCCACAATGATTGAATGTCTACGTTGTTCAACACGTATACATAAGGTACTCTGTGAAAACTCCAGTATCCACCAACCATGAAATGACTCTGGATTAGTCACTAAAGGCTATGTGTCTCGGATCATTCGTCCAATAGCATGATGACTACATTGTGACAAACACCCGCTTTTGCGGTTAGTTATCAGGCTAACCTTCTGTTAAGAGCTACAACTACTCATAGTTGTAGGAAATATATCAAGCTATTGAATTTGTCGCTATGCAGCATTCCATACCACAAGATAACTCAAAGACAAGAGTATTCTTCCTTTCTTTGTTAGGTGAATCAATTATATCAATAGATCATAAATCGTTTTCACATGAAAATCCGTATTAGTAGGTTCCTTTCGCGAAGTTTTTCTGTACTCAAACTATTTTTCAACATTTTTATAAATAATTAATGAAATAAACTTGTACCGTTCGTTTTCTCTATGACTTACAATAAAATAAGTTTGTTAACATTTGATCTCTTCGAATTTCATGAAAAGATTATTTCTCGTGATTTTATGAAATACAAAAAACTTTGTATAAAATTGTTAGAATATTGTGAATAGATCTACTGATACCGTAAGTCATGTTATGAATATCTATACTCTATACATATGTTGATTTCATAAAGCTTTTCTATCAGTACTTCAAATTAAAAACTAGATGATTATCATGTATATCATATAGTTGTTAAATACTATCTATTAGTCAACATTCCGAAATCGAATATTAATAATAGGTAATTATTTAAAAAAAACCCATGAAAGTACCTCTTTTAAACGTTTTTCTAAAGTATGTTTTTCAACTTTAATTTGTTCATAACGTCGTGTTAAATCTTCAATTTCATTTTTATATCGATTTTCAATATTACGTAAATTCTAAGTATAAAAAGTAAAAGAATAATTTATTGTTGAAAATAAATCAAACCTCTTCAAATTCATGTTTCATTTGTAATAAACGTATTTGTATATTTGTATTATTTTGTTGATCAAGATTCATATCTGATAACATATCACTTCTTAAATTAATAAAAACAATTATTTTAAAATAACTATTATTTATATTCATAAATACCTTAGTTTTTTTTGTAATTCTTGTTTCTCTCTTTCCATAACTTCTTTTATATTATTTAATTCAGTTTTTTGACGATTTTCAAGTAATTTCTTTTCATGTAAAAGATTTTCATGGATTTTATTTTCGATTAATCTATTAAGAAAAACAAAAAAAAAAAAAAATTTTTATGATTTTTCTTTTCAAATTTTTTCTTACGTTAAATCAACTTTCATTTTATCACGTAATGTTCGTTCTTCTTGTTCTTTTGCTAAACGTAATTCTGTTTTTAATTTTTCAATGTAAATACGATTATCTTCAAGTAATTGTAATTTTTCATCATTGGCAGATCTTTATCAAAATGAAACATTTTTACAAAAATCAACAAGATTTTATTTACTGTTCAAGCCGTTTTCGAAGTTTATCAATATCAGTATGTTCATGTCGTGTAGTTGATGTATTAACCTTCAAAAAACAAAACAGTAAAGATATATTTATTTTATAAAACTAAATTATGATTTACATTAATTAAAGTTTTATTTGTATTTAAATGATGTTCAGCAGCTTGTGGGGTTAAACTGGTAAGTTTCATTTGTTCATGATTATCTTTACTATTTTCCACTTTTTCCTCTAGAATAAAAAAAAAATCATTTTTTCAAAATTGGCTTATACAGTGTCGATAATAAATAATTATTATTCATTTCAAAATATAATGTACTCCACTGTTTTATGAATAATTTTTCATATGATCATCATTAGAGAATCACTTGGAAAAACAGCTAGTCAGGAGTAATTTATCATGCTGAGTCGAATGATGATAATAACTTCTAGGTTCCAATTGGTTCGACACTTTTTCCTCAGTATTTCCAAAATGTTGACTTTTTTCGTTAAATAAAGACAAATTGCAAAATTTCAGAAATATTGCGATCATTATGTCAGATCAATTACAACCTAAAAGCAAATATTACGTTTTGACTCAGCATGAAGGATGATCCCGGACCAATTAGCTAAAATCTGAGATCCCAAAAGAAGCCTTATAACTCTTGAATGTAACAAACTAGGAATATTGATCTTATGTAGATTGAAAGATAAATTTTTTTCCCATCGATTCGTTATATTATAAGTCTCAATTGAATAGATAACGGCTGATCAATAAAATTTCGATATACTTTGATGACTTCGAATTTTCTCTTGTGAATGATGAAAATCGCAGATCTCTATGATGTTCTTATCAAAAGATTATTCGAAAAACAGTAGAATGCATTATATTTTGAAATGAATTGTAAATGAAAAAAAAAAATATTCGATTTCCTTAATCTACTTTCATCAATCGGATCGTTTTTTTCTTGATGATAGAGGACTCTTCAAAGTTTTTATTTACAAGAAAATCATCAATAAGATACTGTTTTCAACTAGCACTATTGACCTCAATAAAGAAATGTACTACAGGCGGAAAATATCTTCCTCTGATCTCAGCCATTCTTCCGATTACATATCTAGTATCTTAAAAATGTAGACTAACTAGAGACTAGTCCAGTCTCAATCACTTAAGGTGATGAGGAGTTATGATATAACATAGCTTTGTTCCCTAGAAGTTCTATAAATCAACAAAGGAAGGAGCTTATAACCTGGTGAACTTGTCATTATATAATGTATTCGCAGTTATTGAATGCTTTGATGAAACTCAATGAAATTTAAAGCATAAATAGCCGCATTGAAGGAATATATAATGATGAATTCACCGAGTCATAAGCTTCTTCCCTTATTTAGTTACAGAACTTCTAATAATAAGAGCTATCATTCACTATAAATCCTTGTCAGCTCAAGCGATTTTGACTAATCTAGTCTCATTGGCCTACATTTCTAAGGTATTATATATGTTAAAAGTTTTACATACTTAATCCTAATAATGGCTGGAATAATTTTAGTTAATAGTGCTGATTCTAGACAGTATTTATTTGACAGTTTCCTTGTAAATAATCACTTTAAAGAGTTCTCTATCACGAGAAAAAAAATTAATCCGATTGATTACGGTTGACTGAAGATATTGAACTTGTTTATAGTTTACTTATTTATGGGTCATACTGTACATAAAGATAATTAACCTGTGCTATCGATAAATGCCATTGGAGGAGATGGAGTAATAACTGCTGTTGGTTCATTTTCTTCACGTTCAATACGTGCAGATAGGTCACGATCAATACCTAATTATAAACTGTCATTTTATTATAACTATTCATGTTATTGAAAACAAATGTTGTCAGACAAAAAAAATAGGCAGTATAAATTTTCTATTGAAATTCTGAAATTTAATTCAACATCTAGATGTCTCGAACTCTTATATGATCATTTTTTACTTTATCTAATTATGATGATCAAGAATTAAGTTGAGAATGAAAATTTTGAATCTATTATGTTGTAGAGCTCAATTTTTCTAACAGATGATAGAGCCTGTCGGATTCAAGATTTTTAGGTCCGGTATTAACTTGACGAGCTCTAGAGAAGATGGACTTTAAACTATACTTAAATAATAGAAGATCATAAACATTCTATATAAGAATAATAACGAAACAAATTATCTATCCATTAACACTCGAGAAAATTAATCGAATTTGTTAGAAACTCATTACTCGTAAACGAAAAAGATACATTCAGCAATTCTACTTAAAAAGGCATCAACAAAATTAATCAACATTCTAATGAATATGAAAAATAAAATTTCTTTTTCCGACATGTATTTCAAGCTAATAAATACTTTACCAAAATATACATCTTTTTGAAAATCATTGCTACTATGTGTTCGATCATTTTCACTATTGTTTAATTCACCACTAGAATCACTGTTAATACATTGAGAATCTAATTAAAAAACGAATTCATTTTAAGATATTTATTTTCTTGTATTTTAATTTAATACCTAATTGATTATCCACTGTGTCATTTTTTGTATGTAAAGGTAGATTATGGGGATTTTTTCCACTCGATAAATCACTTATGCTTGATGTATTTTTTCCTTTTCAAAATAAAATGTTTTTTGATTCTTTTAAACAAATATTTAAACAATTTACCTTTTGAAATAGTATCGAATATAATTGATGATGAAGTTTTCTTTTCTCTAATTGATATTTATCATATTAATATAATGATATTTTAACTTTTTTGTTTTTAATTTTTTAAATCTTACCGTGCTTGAATAACACGTGCTTTATAAATTTCATCATATGGATGATCCCATGATGATTTTCCCGTATTAAAATTAAAATAATATAATTCTCCATTTTCTTCTTGACATGCTTTCCAACCTGATGGTAATGGTTTCATAAGACCTTCTTTTGCTAACCAAAGAAGATCTTTTTCCTATTTAAAATTATTTTTTTTCAATTCTTTTCTTTTTCATATTTATTTACTTTCTCAGGATCAATTCCTATATAAATAGCATATTCATGAATTTCTTCTTGAGTTGGTTCATAATTTTCATCAATATGTTCTTCTAAAATCGTTTGATTATTTAATTTATATCCCGAATATGCTTTCGACATTATTTATTAAAACCCCATAAGAATTCAAAAATAAGGTTTTCTTCCTTGATCCTTTCTTTTTTCTTTTTTTGTACCGTTGTCAATGTCAACCAACAAGAAATATAAATATTTCGTTAGATGTCAGTCATATTCGTATTAGATTTTTTTTTCTGGTTTAATAAGATTTTATTTTTTTTACTTAGAATGACACGCATAGGAATAAAATGTTTTTATTATTTTTAAATAGTTATTGCTATGATGTTTAACCATGGACAAAACGTTTGCCATGTACAAAACGTTTTTCAAGAAGATCGTCACTAATATCTTGTTGTTCACCATCTTCATCAACAGATCGACCATGAACAAAACCTTTTAAATAAGCTCTAAATATTCGGTTTTTTTAAAATACATTTTTTATTTATCAATAGGAAAATATTTGTTTACCGCTTTTTGAATAATAAATTATTAGAACAGAAATGTTGACAATATTTTATAAGATCATCTTCAGATTCACTAATTGTTGATCGAGCTACTCGTATATTGGATCTAAAGAATAATGTGAAAGAGAAAAAAAAACGAAAAAGAATATTTTTCTTTACTCGGTTTTTGAATCAGATGACTAAAAATAAAAATAATGTGAATAAAATATTTATAATCATTGTAAAACTCTTGAGTAACTTACACTACTAGGTGCAGAAAGAACAGCAGTAAAGAATAAAAAAAGCAAGCATGTAACCATAGTAAATCGGACAATGAGTGTAGATTGCATGATAATATATGTTGTTTATTCTAAATAAAATGATAGAATGAATGTCACACGATCTCTCACATTATATTTATAAAAAAAAAAAACCATCTCAATATGAGATGGGAGAAAAAAGGATCAATATGTGTGTGGGACGTTTTTATTTTCTATCCGGAATGCTAAAAAAAAAAAGAAAATATACACACAAATTGATTTACTCTCTCTTTCATTTACGTATTTCGTTCGTTGTTAATAATGAACAATCATCAATTCTCATTATTCTGTCACAGACACCGTTATATAAATTATCGGAAAATGTTATCATATTAATTTAATTATATATTTATATGGTTTTTTTTTCTCTTTGGCACATATATATTATTATATACTAATTGAAATAACTCGAATAAATAAAAAAAATAATTCGAGAAAGTTGAGCGAAGAAAAATTAATTTCATATTTCGATCTCGTATCTTATTTGTGTTTATTAAATAAAATGATAAGTAAATGACTTCTGTTTTGGATAGTAAATTAATGCTTTTTTTTTTCTCATCATAGGAAAAAGTATTAAGAACGAACTTGAAAACATTTTTGTTTTCTGTTTGTATTACGTCAAATTAGTAACATAAATATTTTTATTTTAGAAAATGTTTCAATAATTAGAAGAATCAATAGAATAGATAATTTCTATAATTATTTGCGTTACTATCGTTTGTCTTTTGAAATTAATAATATTTACTTTGTAAGAAATATCGATTAAATTACTTTCGTATTATGATAAGAGTAAGATTTTCGAAATCAATTTATTGTTAACTATGACGATTGATGAAAAACAAAAAAGAAAAGGATGTAGAAATTCTAGAAATATATTTTATATTTTCTTGGAACAAATAAATTGTATTTAATCTAATTGAGTAAGCATATAATCAATTTCTTTATTTGATATAAAAAATTCAATATTGAAAAGTTGTCTCTTGACATTTAACAGACATTATTGATTTTAAGAGCAAACAAAGAAAAAAAAACATGATAAGTAACGGGTGGTCCAGAAATAATTACGCTGTTAGTTTTTTTCAAAATTTCTCCTGCATTTAACATCTAATCAAGATATCTATTTTTATCAAAAAAAGTCATTTGAAATTTTACACAAACTGATATATTTTATTTAACGAATATAATTTTCTTCATTTTTTTAAGGATAAAACATAATCGTACTGGAAAATTAAGTACAGAACGTTTTATCTCGTCTATCAATATTGCTTTTGTTGTTATGAACTTCCAATTTATAGTTGCAGGCAGATTAAGTGATTAATGATCTTTTGATATGAATGCACGAAAATGACTTGTAGACCATTTTTCATTGAGAAAGTGTTTGTAAACCTTAGAAGAAATTCTACTAATATCCTGTTTGCAAAATTAGCTCACTTTTATTGTGTAGATCACTCACGATTAACTCTTTCACTTTGGGTTATAAGAAATAGCCAAAATCTTCATATGATAGTCCAATAGATAGTTTTCTTGTTGACATTCGTTTGTTGAATAGTAAATATTATTTCATCTTTCAGATATTCAATTTTGTTGAAATTAAACATGTAAAACCAGGATGATGTGACAAGTTGATAGAGGTTTTGTCGTTGATCCTATTTATTCATAAATTAATTCTTTTTAATAAAAGCATTGTGACCAAATCATGTTAAAATTTCTCCAGGCCACTATCGTTTTTTATATTTATCGTTTATAGCTTTATAGACGTCTTTACTTTTCATCTTTTTTTTTTAAAAATACATCTAAAACAACTTTCGGTTCCAATCGTATACCGTTTTTCAGAGAATTTCGTGAAGTATCTTTTTGTAAAAAAAAGATGTTTCAATCAAATGTTAATTTTAGGAGAAATTTTGAAACGTCATATATGAGTTGAGAGAGAAAGAGAGTTGTCATAAATATACTGATCGGATAATATGAGAGGTTTGGTTTAATCGGACTGATATGAAAAAGTTGTTCATCAATTTTTTTGATACAGTATTCAAGAATCATACAGTTGTGAATTGTCTTTTAACAATTATTCAACTTAGGGCAATCCAAAAGTAGTGGCAATTATGCTTCAGTACCTTATAGTAGGTTTGAGAAAACTCTTTATATGCAGCAATAGTAAAAATATTGCTCTATTTTTCTGTGGTATTTCATCATTCTTCAATAAACATCATTATAATAAAATTTCGATAAGATCTGTTTTTCTGTCATATGTGATGGTTATACTAATGTTTATGAATGGATATTTTTTTAAATAGATTTTGATATAAACAAGATAGAGACCTACAGTTTCCATCGTTCGAAAGAGAAAATGAAGATGTATTGAATCGTATATTATGGACATTTTTCACATGATGTTTTTAAAATTTTCAATCGATTTGTTTGAAAACAAACTCACTCCATGAGATTTCTACAACGAATTTGCATGGTCAGATTTGTATTCAAATCACTAATGAAAGATCTACAAAGCTGCACAAGGTTCAGATGTTTAGAATTAATCATTCAGGAGTTATATGTGTTCTAGTCGAAGCTCTAAGTGATCTTTCTGGCAATTTATGTGAAAAAATGAAAAATCATTTTTTCCAGTACTTAGAAAATTGATTGAAGAAACTTCAGATAATGTCTAGGAAAACATATAATATGCAATTCGATGTATCTTCATCTCCACTTTTCAACAATGAAACCCGCAACTCTCTATCTTTTTTCTCTCAAAAGTTATTCAAAACCTATAGTATAACCGTCCCATATCATAGAAAAACAGGTCTCATTGAAATTTGATTATTATGATATTAGTTGAACTATGATCAAATAGCATAGAAAACTTAAGGTAATTTAGGAAATAACAAATAACTTTTAGATTTGGTTTTGTCACGGACAAATCTTAGTGATAATTATTGGAGTTTTATATGAATATCATAAATATATAAGAAAAGATTTCTTTTAGTATAATATACCAACTAACAACATGACATTTGAAATATTCGCTTATTTGAAAAATACTGACAAAATAATCATCTTAACTGATACCCGCCATTTCAACTCATTTTGCGCCTACAAGGAAATGCCGATTAGACTACTAAAAGGATTCGGCCTCATAAGGCTTTAAAACAAAATTACAGTCGTTTTACTGAATTTTCGATCCACTTATAGATACATATCGAATAATAAAAAAAAAAAGTGAATTTTCACATGAAATCTTATCTATAGATAGGTCTAATGATCCTTAGAACATCTTGAAAGTTCCAGCTGAAGTGAATGTTTTTTGTTTTTGTGAAGACATTCAGTTTCCAAAGAATAATCATTTGCTACAAACATGTCGCAAAAATTGAGTTTACTTGAAAATTCAATATCTCGAAAAAAGAACATTCTTTTCTGCTGAAACTTTCAAGATATTCTGTGGGCTATTAAAAAAAAAATATTAAGGACGAGATATATTCTGAGCACCAAAGTTACTTTTAGGCGACACCAGAACAATAACGGTAGCTTTACAAAAAAAAAGCAGCAACAACAGCAGATAGATAATAAATACAAGAACAAAAAAAAACATAAATATGAATATAATGAAAAGCAAATAATTCACAATAATAAAGCAGATCGATCTCTTTTTTTATCTACATTTTCCTTGTCGTTGACCAATAAGTTGCGAACACGTTTTATTAGTTAATTAAGATTATTATTCTTCAAATAAACAATTTAACATAAAGGTCTAATTTGAGAATAGCTATGACAGAATTTATAATTTTTCTTTTTTCTTTTTTCAATAAGAAACAAAATAAAAGTAAATTATATAAATTTTAATTTATTTTTTATCATAATTAATCACATTAGTATTTATATTATTCGTTTTTACTTTATTTGTTATTGAAAAAAGAAAAAAAGTCAATAAATTCTGATATATCTATTATAAAATTACATCTTCATGTTGACTTGTTCAATTTCAACAATAGATTGATAACTTTTATATTATTCTTTTCATTTACTACTCAATTGTCTCATTGTTTTGTGTTTATTTCGCATACAATTTTTTCGGTCCTCAATTCTCTTATTTTTTGGTGTTCTTTTCACATATAACTAATTTTGTGCTCAATTGTCTTTTTTTTGTGGTACTCAAAAGAACATTTTTTCCAAACATTAATATAAAGTGCAACTGTCAGACTCTGTTATGCTATATTGCCTAGTTCTAAATCAATCAAATTTGTTGTCCGTTAGAAAAAGTAATAGTAGAACTACAAATTTTGTACTAGATATATTCTTCCCAAACAAACCTGACGAGAAGAAAAAGTCCAAAATTAAACACTTCTAAAAAAAGACTTGTTGCAATGTTTTTCTAACTTGACAAGTCTGTATTTTCGATTTATTTTTAGCTACATTAATGGATCAAATTACAACAAAATATAAATAAATCAAAAACTCTATTGATATCAGCTCGAGTAAAATTTTTACATCTGCCTCTGATTCTTTAATAAGAAAAATTTTCAATAATTAAATATAAATAAAATATTATATTTTTCAAGAAAATTACTTTATAAGACCATTAATCACGAACTTCCGAAATTATGCAAGACTCAATTCTTTTTTTTTTTGTTATTTATTCGAGACATTTCGGGTTATAGAAATTTAACAGAAAAAATAATTCAAAAAGCATTTTCTTACCGTTGCAAAACAAACAAATTACTCAGCTCAGTCCTTTTTTTTGGAAAAAGCTACAGTTTGGTATGAAAACCAGGGGTGCATTTAACGTCTAATACATCATCTAAAAGAGCACAGTTTGCGATACAAAACTCAACATTAAACTGGTTTTCTTATTTCCCTTCTAATTTAAACAAAATTAGTAGAAAATAAAAAAAGATGATTTTTCTTGGTGTTTAGTTTTAAACTTTTCCTTCTCATCAGGTTTGTTTATGTCTAGTACAAAATTTCTATTTCAGATATTGTTCTTTAAAAAAAAAAAAAAGAAATTTGATTGCCTTTGACATCGGTATTGTGATACTACAGAGTTTGATATTTTAGCATAGAATATTTTAATTATCTAGATTTGAGTGTAATACATCAATATCTTCTATTAATTCATTCTGTAACAAAACGAAAAAACAAACCAATAAAAGTTCATCATGAAATAAATCAACATGTTCATTAACTATTAATCAACAGTAAAATCTAATAAAAAATCTTACTGATTATAAAAATAAATTCAATTATAAATTTTCAAATATTCCATCTTCATTTATAGTTATTAACATAATTAAATTCATACTATGTTTTTATTAATTAATAAAAAAAAAAAAACGGGCACGAAAACTATCAGTCGGCTTGTATTGAAAAAAAAAACTGATGAATACATGTAAAAGTAATCTATTAGTTTTTAATTCCCAATAGCATCAACTTCTCGTAATCGTTTTTCTAAATCACCATTTCTATCTAATTTTTCTGTATCATCACTACCACCAATACATTTTCCATCAATAAATACGCGTGGAACAGTTGAAGTATTTGTCATTTTTTCTAATACATTTTGATATTCACTACCATTATCAATTTGATCAAGTTCAACTACTTTATAATCTTTTAATTTATATTTAGCAAAAATATCTTTTGCTGCTATACAATAAGGACCTAAATAATAAAACAAATTCATTTTTACAAATTTTTTCTAACATATATATGAAGAACATACAATAACTTTTTGAAAATACAATCACTTTATGATTGTTTATTAATTGTTTCACTTTGTCAGCTATTGCTTCTTTGCTGGTATTATTGCCAGAAGCAATAGTTGACAAAGTTATTCGACGAAATATTTGTCGAAATATGATAATTGATTGAAGATGATAAAAAATAAAATTGAATCTAGAAAAAAAAAAGTATTAATCATCATTATAACAGCATTATCAAACATATATAGTTAAAATACAGAACAAATTAACTAAAATACGATAAAAAATTATGCACATATTACGTTTGTAGATTCAGGATGGAGAGTAGGAATGGTATAGAAAAGGCCAAAAGAAAAAACGTCGAATGATGAAAACATCGAATGATAGTTATGTCGAAAATTTTAACATAAAATATATGTGAGTATGGAGTACGAATCAGAGTCATGTAGAGTAACGCTTAAGTAGCGAGTCATAGAGTAAGGTAGAATTAGCCTTGATGAAGAAAAGGTGGATTCGAGATCTAGGTGAATGTCCATGGAACCAGAATAATCTACTTGACTCCATTTGATAACAAAGACCCATTAGAATCTATTAGAGTCCATAGATCCATAAGTGCTAGTTTTTTAGTTTTGGTTAGACTGGCCAGACGTGGAAAGCATAGAGCAGGGGCGGCGCGACCGGGGATCTCCATTTGCTTTCTCAAGATCGGCCACAACTTTCTCCGAATTCAGGAGAAAGTGACGTCAAACTCAAATTTTTCTCGGTTTTCGGAGAAAATGACCTCAAATTGTTTTCAATTTGAAGAGAAACTGAGCTGAGATTTTCGCCAATTTTGAGAGAAAATACTTCAAATTTTCTCCAAGTTTCGGAGAAAGTGATCAAATTCTAAGCAGTTTTTACTTTCTTCCATTTTCGAAAATATCCCCCTGCTTTGACCTCTTCGCGCCGCCCCTGGCATATAGTAAGAGTGTAAAACTTTTAGGCTAGAAAGAGGATAGGGTACGGCAAAGCTTTACCCTACAGGATCCTAGTATGAATATGGATGTGAATTTTCTCTTCATTGACACACACAATTTTTTCGACATTTTTACACATTCGATATTTTTTCTTTCGATATTTTTTATTTCAACATTTTTCTTTCGGCCTTTTCTATGCATACTGAGAGTAGAGCCCGTTGGATCCGAACCTGACTAACAGAAAAATTTTACACCCGACAGTCTCCAATGGGCAAACATAGTTGATTCTCTATAGAGTCGTTATTGAAATATCTGTTGAGATAAATAGAAGTATGCAATTCGATTTCGTGTTAACGAGAGATTTCATAGAAGTTTTTAATTCATTTTCACAGCAATAAGCATTTTGATAAATAGATAAACTAAAATTTACTGATATTTAAGTTAACATTCAAGTGTTTTATCGATTTTTCTGTAAGATATTTGATAGAAAATTGATTTGGAAAAACCTGTTAGTGGAATTCCTGCAGGATTAAAATGTGAAACATTATGCAGTTGCTGTTGTTAATCACAAGAAAGATTGTTTTATTCTATCTATTTTGAAATACTATCCTTCTTCAAAATATATAATAACGAATTAGTTTCAATAATAAACGATTCCATATCAGTAAAATCCGATTAAATAATATAAAAACAATCCGTTAAATAACATTTATAACGTGTATCTACAAAAAAAAAATAATGTAAAAAGTAATTGATTATTTCAAATGATTGAAAATTCTAATAAAAATAAGATGAACCTTAAAGAATTCTTTTTTTAATGCAGTATTCAATCTGTCGTTTTAATAATGTCGACAACTTATCATGACCTGTTTGTCAGAAAGAAATAAGTCGACAATAATAAATAATATATAGTATTATTCTAATAAATCATTTTTATGTGATTAATGCTGTAGAAATAATAAAAAATTAATTTTCATAAGAAAACATTTTTTTATTCAATCTTATGGATAGAATTGATTATAACAAAAAGCATTTGGAAATGCAAACAAAAAATTTATCTTCTTTTATTGTTTTAATAACAAAACAAAAACAAAACATTAAGTTAACATAGCTTCAGATTTTTCCAATATTTTATTCTTTTGTTTTGTAATTTTACCAGGATTTTTCTTTATTTTTTTCTGTTTATCATTTCGTTTTTGAACAGCTTGTTTAGCTTGTAAACGTTTTCGTTGACGACCACTTAACCATGATGGATATTGACCATCCTTATTTTTTAATGTTCGAATATTATATTCTGATGGATTACCAGTTTGCATTTCTTTAAAATAAAACAAAATTCAATAAAAAACAAAAAAAAAAAAATCATTTTTTAATACCTTCATCTATTGATAATTCTTTTATTGGTACAGTTGATGCTAAAACAAAAATAAATAATTATTATATAAATAAATAAAAAAAAACAAAATAAGATAATTTACGAATTAAATTATCATTTTTCATTGATGCTAATCGTTTGGCTTCATCTTTTTTTGATAATTTTTCACGAAGAATTTTACGCATTGCACGCATATGTTTACTTCGTTTACTTTTTGCCATCTAAAAACACATTCAGAGAGAAAAAAAACAAAATCTATTTTATTTAATTCCTATTCATTAAAACAAAACGATTTCATTAAATAAACTATATTTTATTTTTAAAAATAAATAAATAAACAGATCTCTCTGTATTTGTTAATTTTATCACAGAATTTGTGTTGATGCACTTTGGCTTTGATATATAATGGCACCAACAAAATTAACTGCACTTGCAATAATAAACACAGGAAACCAACGATTATTACTTGCAACAACTAATTCAGCTGTTACAGGACCAGCTAAGATTCCTGGTATAGTAGCAAGTGTATTTGATATAGCAAATGTAATACCAGCATGATTGGGTGCTATATCAGCATGATTCGATAAATGACCAGCTGAATTACATGCACTTAAACCCATACTTATCGATATAAAACTAAATATAATATAAATAACAAATAAATTATATTTAAGATTTAAAAAAAAAAAAGAATTATGAAATATTACAGAAAGGCAAGTAGTAAACTATCTACTGAGATAAAAAGAATCATAAATAAAGCAGGTCCAAGTAAACCAACAGCTGTCATTAATCGACGAACGGATAATAATGTCCAATGATTTTGTATGAGAAAATCAGCAAAATGACCCGCACCTAAATAAAAATTATTCTTATCTATTTATACTATTGCAAGAAAATATTTCCAATAAAACAAATCTTAGTGTTATCGTTTAAACTAATACTAATTTCAAGAAAATGATGCTAGTTTAAATAATTCAAAGAATTACGACACAAAACATTAATTTTTCACTTTTGCATTTTTCAACAATACACTTTCATAATCGTCTATATCCTTCAAAAATTGTCTGAATAACTATCTAAATAATCAGTGCAGTCTGAAATCGTTGGGTAGTTTCCAAACTTCGAATTGAAGTTCGGGTTTGCTGCATGTCTAATATTTAGGATTTTTAATTTATCTTTATACTAAATAATAAATATAAATATAATTCTAAGTATCCTTTCATGCATTAACTTCATTTAAGAACAACATCACATATCGAACTGTTATTTATAATAATAAAAAATATTAATTAACATATCCTCTTATTACACTAGTTTATTTTCTAAGTATCTATTATATAGGAAAAACCTTATTAATACTCCTAGTCATAAGTACAACTGAACCAACTTTCAGTTTGAACTCTAGAATTATGAATAACATATTCTGATCGGTAATAATTAGAGATGAGCGAGATCAAAAAATAAAATTTATTAAAGTTGAAACAAAGAGAAAAAAAAATTGTTCGAATCGACAAGATCGAACAATACAGCATGTAAAGGACCGTAAGTAGAAGCCATTTAGTGTGCTAAAAAAACACCATATTTGCGTCACATTATTAAATCGTCTAAACTTCATAATTAGCTATAATCTAATGATATACAATCAATAGATATTGTCTAGTCCTATCTTACGATATCAAGTTTTCATAAGTTAATGTCTACAAGAGCTACTGTCTGATAAAAACATTTATTTTTTTTTTGTTAATGTGAAGTCTTAATTAAGTTTTAGAGCAATTTTTATATAACAATTGATAGTTTATTTTGAAGTCTATCCAATGTAATTAACTCTGATGTTTAAAAATACCTATGAACTATATTTCATAATTGTCAATTTTAAATAAATATACATTTCTTTTTTATAAATTTAGATCAATTCTCGAAATAAGTACAAGGATAAGTATTTATGCAAATAAACATATCATGTTTCTTTTTTTTTTTGTTAAAGGACGCCATAGAAATCCATTCCTCTCTTCACTCCACAAAAGCTCATGTAAATATAATGACAAACGTCCATGAACAACCGTTCAATGTCATACAAATGCTGTAATCAAGCCGTATGTAGGCGCACTGAAGCAAAGCTCCTGAGTAACACTGAATATTGTAGCAAAAATTTCTATGAGTTTTAGTAAATTGTATTATAAATGGAATAAATAAAAGCACGAGCATCTAAGACCTTTTTTTTGTTTCTAGAGTTAATTACGAATAAATTCTAAAATCATATTCTCTAAGTTGGTATCAAGACGAGACCAAATTGAACCGAAAACCACTGAACAAGAAATTACCAGAATTGAAAAAAAAACTTAGTTCCTTACATCTCTATTAAAGATTAGATTTTCTATTTATATTTACCAACACCCGCTAAACAATTCATAACATATGGAAATGCTGTAAATGATAAACTAGTTGGATCAGCATCAAATGTTTTCGTTAAATAAGATGGTAACCATACCATAACAATATATGATGACCAATTCATAGAAAAATGTGCTATATAAATAGCCCATAAAGGCCAATGTGAAATAAATTCAATCCATCGATAATTTTTAATGTTTAACTATTAACAAAAAACGAAAAACAATTTTTAATTATTTTATTTTTCTTCAAACTTCAAAAAAGAAGAAAAAAAATACTTTCGGTGATAAAGGAAAACATGTTTCTTCATTTCCAATAGAAGGATTATTAATTTCACGGTAAGTAATAATCCAAAAAAATGTCCATAAAAATCCCATTACACCAAAAAGAATAAAAACAAAACGCCAAGCCATATGAGGACATATCTAAAATTCAAAATTTTATTTTAAAGAAAATAGTTTTTGTTTTCTTTCCATTTTTCACATACCACAGCTGCAAATGTTTGTCCGACAGAACCTAATGCAATAAGATAACTAAAAGATCTTGATCGTTCTTCCATTGGTACATAATTACTAAAAATATGAAAAATTGTTGGTAGAGCTAAAATTTAAAATAAACTATTTTTTCTTTTAAATTTAATTATTTTTCTCTATACCTAATCCTTCTCCGAATCCTAATGTAATTCTTGAGCAAATAAGTAAAAAAGGCCAAGGTGCCAAAAAAGGCGTCACAAATGTTACTAATGACCATGTAAACACAGCAAAAGCAAGAACAGCTCTTGTTCCAAAACGTTTGACAAAAATATGAGTAAATAGTTGACTTGTTAAATATCCTATAGGAAATGCTGAAAGTATATAACCTTGTAAACGTAAATTCCAATTGAATTCTTTTGCCATTGGAATAATGGCAACTATAAAGAAAAAAAAAATTGTTAATTTAAAAAAACCAATGATTAATAATATTAATAAATTGTTTTACTTGGCATAATTGCTCTATCGGCTGCATTTATAAAATTAGCAAATGAACAAATGCCAACAGTACGAGATTTAACGAAAGACATTTGTACATATCAATTTAATCGATTTCTTTATCTGTTCAATCAAAATAAATAAATTATTTTTTCTTGAAATCAATTGGTTAACTATAAACCAAAGAAATTCTTATGGTTAGATGTCGTATGAAAAAATAAAAATATTAAAAAAAAATAATTTTTCCCTAAAACATTTTAATATATATAAATCAAATATAAACTTTGAAATAAAATATTTCTAAGGAAATATTTCATTTCTATTTCTACTGTCCTCCTTCTATTGATTTCTCAGTGGTCATTTATACTAAAAATGGATTCTCAAATAATTATTATTTATTATATGTATCGAATTTATTTACATGAAAAATATATTTTCTTAAAAGAAAAAAGATTTTTTTTTAGATCATTATTTAATTAACCTATCATTATAATAACAAAAAGATGGGTATTAGTCGTGATCATTGGCATAAACGACGAAAAACTGGTGGTAAACGTCCACAACCACATAAAAAACGAAAATTCGAATTAGGTCGACCAGCAGCTCTTACAAAATTAGGTGCAAAACGTATTCATACTGTACGTACAAGAGGTGGAAATAAAAAATATCGTGCTCTACGTCTTGATATTGGCAATTTCTCTTGGGGTTCAGAAGGTATTGCTAAAAAAACACGTGTTATCGATGTTATGTATCATCCATCAAATAATGTTTGTATTTAAGAAAAATAAAAAAACAAAAAGCAAAAAATTAATTTTATATTATTTAGGAATTAGTACGTACAAAAACATTAACAAAATCAACCATTGTACAAATAGATGCTGTTCCATTTCGTCAATGGTATGAATCATATTATGCCTTACCACTTGGTCGTAAGAAAGGTGTTAAATTAACTGAAGCTGAAGATGCTATACTTAATCGTAAACGTTCAGCTAAATCAGAAAAAAAAATTCTTATTAAACAACGTCGTGCAAAAGTTGAACAAGGACTTGAAGAACAATTTCAAGCTGGTCGTGTTCTTGCTTGTATTGCATCAAAACCTGGTCAATGTGGTCGTTGTGATGGTTATGTACTTGAAGGAAAAGAACTGGATTTTTATATGAAAAAAATCAAACAAAAAAAATCCAAATAGATATATTATCAACGTTATCATTTATTGTTTTAAACAAATATAACAACGTTTTTAAAAATAAGAATAAATGAAAGAAAAAAAAAAAACAAACAAAATCAATATGAATTATTTATTACAAAAAGGAATTTTATTCATAGGATAAAAGATATACTTCTTACAAGGTCTAGTATTTTCAAGCAAAGTGAAACAACATTTCTACAAATATTCTTAAAGAAAAACATATCACACAAGATGATTCTAAATCTAGAGATATTTTCGAAATTTCATTGATAAAATCCTTGTGAAAAAAAAAATTGATATTATCTATTTAAGAATAATAGAATATTCTTCGGCATACAAATTGATCAAAATACAATTAAACTATAGAAATGGTTTTATAGAACGAAAACTAATTCGATGATTTTATTTGTTTTCTTTATAAAAAAAAAACAAAAACATTAGAATTTAGAAGAAGTACGTTTATATACTATTTAATAGCGTTTATAATGAATCATCTATTTAACGATTGGTGCAGATTAAATAAGACAGTATCTTTTTCTTTTTTGGGAGGAGGTCATTCAGCTCAATCGTCTAACTAAGAGTTTTCTTCAGATATCTATTGATTTATGTAAATATTTGCTCATCAAGAAAAAGTAACGCAGTTCAAATTAATCAATTGAGAACTTCGTGTTCTCTGCTTGAACAACCTTTTCAAGGTTTTTAGTACTACTATCATTCATGAGAAAAAAGCTTGAAACTAATATCTAATGATACTTTTGCACGCATACTTCGGAAAAATATGTTTTTTTTAAACAAGATTTAATATAATCTTGCACTGTTGAGTGTAGAGTTTTAATTCTAGAAAAAATGGTGTGACTGATAAGTTGAAGAATAAAAGCGATTAAATTGTATCACAGAAAAAAAATCATGTAACCCTGTCAGACAAGGATTTTTTTCTCGTTAATGTTTTTCCCAAAATTATGAAGCATATATCTAAATTGTTTGAAAGGACGGAGGTGGAT